CTTTTACTATGTTCAGGTATGTGCAGTGTATCCCTGATCTCTCCAAAACTGTAAACATGATTGGTTGTTGAATTTTGTCAAATGCTTTTTTGGCATCTAAGGAGAAGATCATGTGTTTTTTCTTTTTTTATTTTTTTCAGTTTGTTTATATGGTGGATTACGTTAATGGGTTTTCATATATTGAACCACCCCTGCATGCTTGAGATGAAGCCTACTTGGTCATGGTGGATGATGTCTTTAAAGTGTTCTTGGATTCACGTTGAGAGTATTTTATTAAGTATTTTAGTGTCCATGGTGCGGTTTAGGTATCAGGGTGACTGTGGCCTCATAAAATGAGTTTGGTAATGTTCTTTCTGTTTCTATTTTGTGGAATAGGTTGAAGAGTGTTGGTGTTTGCTCTTTGAAGGTCTGGTAGAAGTTTGCACTGAAAAACATCTGGCCCTGGTTTTTTTTTTTTTTTTTTTTTTTTTTTTATGGGAGACTTTTGATGACAGCTTTTATTTCCTTAGGGGATACAGTACTATTTAATTAATTTATCTAGTCTTGATTCAGCTGTGGTAAGTGGAATAGATCAAGAAAATTGTCCATTTCATTTAAATTTTCAAATTTTGTGACATATATGCTTTTGTAGTAAGACCTAATGATTGTTTGGATTCCTCAGTGTCTGTTGTTATGTCTCTGTTTTCATTTCTGATTTTGTTGATTTAGATAGTGCCTCTCTGCCTTTTAGTTAGTTTGGCTAAGGGTTTGCTATCTTGACTTTCTCAAAGAACCAGCTCTTGGTTTTATTGATTCTTTGAATTGTTCTTTTTTTTTCTATTTTATTGATTTCAGTCCTGAGTTTGATTATTTCCAGCTGTCTACTCCTTTTGGGTATGCCTACTACTACTTCTTTTTTTTTTTTCCTAGGGATTTCAGGTGAGTTGTTAAGTTGCTTGTAGGAGATGTTTCAAATTTCTTTATGAAGGCACTTAAGTGCTATGAACTTTCCTCTTACCACTGCTTTCATTGTGTCCCATAAGTTTGGGTATGTTGTGTCTTCATTTTTATTGAATTCTTGGAAGTCTTTATTTTCTTTATTTCTTCCATGACCCAGCTGTCGTTGAGTAGAGAATTGTTCAGTTTCCATGTGTGTGGCACAGCTTTTTGCTATTTCTGTTGTTGTTGAGGTCCAGCTTTAGTCTATAGTGGTATGATAGTATACAAGGGATTAGTTCAATCTTTTTGTATCTGTCGAGGCTTGCTTTGTGACCAACTATATCGTCTATTTTGGAGAAGGTTCCATGAAGTGCTGAGTAAAACGTTCTGTAGATATCTTTTAGGTCCATTTGATTCATGAAGTCTGTTAATGTCATTGTTTCATTTTGTAATTTCGATTTGTTGATCTGTCCTTTGTTTGGAGTGGCGTGTTGAAGTCTCCCACTATTAATGTGTGTGGATTTATGTGTGGTTTAAATTTTATTAATATTTGCTTTAGAAATATGTGTATTTGGGGAATAGATGTTCAGAATTGTGATGTCTTCTTGGTTGAATTTTCCTTTGATGAGAATGAAGTGACCTTCTCATCTCTCTTGATTAATTTTAGTTGTAAGTCTTTTTATTAGATATCAGAATGGGTACTCCTGCTTGCTTCTTGGGTCCATTTGCTTGGAAAACTGTCTTCTAGCCCTTTACTCTCAGGTAATGTCTATCTTTGTGACTTAGGTGTATTTCTTGTATGGAACAGTTTATTGGTTCTTGTTTATGCATCCATTCTGTTAGTCTCTGTCTTTTTATTGGAGAGTTGAGTCCATTTATGTTGAGAGAGATTAATGACCAGTGGCTGTTAGATCCTTTGATTTTGATGTTGGTTGTGGTAGTGTGTTTAGGTGCTTGGTTACTTTTAGTTTTGCTGTAGTGAGGTTATTTAGTTCCTGTGTTTTCCTGAATGTAGTGAGCTTTGTTGGATTGTATTTTTCCTTCTAGCATCTTCTTTAAGGCTGGCTACATTGGTATGTTTTTTTAAGTTTTTTTTTTTTTAAGTTGGTTTTTTTTTTTTTTTTTACTTTGAATATCTTCTTTTTTCCATCTATGATGATTGAGAGTTTTGCAGGGTAGTAGCCTGGGCTGATGTCTGTGTTCTCTTAGGGTCTTCATGAAATCCATCCTGGCCCTTCTGGCTTTCATAGTGTCTGAGGAGTCAGGTGTGATTCTGATGGGTTTGCCATTATATGTTACTTGGCCTTTTTGTCTTGCAGCTTTTAGTATTTTTTCTTTGTTTTGTATACTTACTGTTTTGATTATTATGTGGGGGAAGAATTTTCTTTTCTGCTCTAATCTACTAGGTGTTCTGTAGGTCTCTTGTATGCTTATAGGTCTCTCCTTTAAATTGGGGAAATTTTCTTCTATGATTTTGTTGAAAAAATTTTCTGGGCCTCGGAGATGGAAATCTTCTTTTTCCTCTATTCCAATTATCTTAGGTTTTGTCTTTTCATGTTGTCTGGGTTTTCTTGGATGGTTTGTGTCAGGAGTTTCTTAGATTTAAAAAGTTCATTGATGGATACATCGATTTCTTCCATTGTATCTTTCTCACCTGAGATTCTTTCTTCCATTCCTTGCAGTCTGTTGGCTATGCTTACCTCTGTAATTCCTGTTTTCTTCCATAAGTTCTTCCTTTCCATGATTTCCTCTGTTCGTATTTTCTTTAATTTTTCCCATTCTATCTTCAGATCTTGAACCGCTTTGTGGATTTTTTTCACCTGTCTGACTATATATTCCTTTATTTCCTTCACCTGTTTGTTTGAACAGTCCTCTGTTTCTTTTATTTCTTTCAGTGATTAAATTATTTCCTCTCTGAGGGTCATAATCTGTTTGGCTGCATCATCCTTTATTTCTTTACAGATGGCCCTAATCTGTTTGACTTTATCATTCTTCTTCATGTGTTTTATTCATTTTCCTCTATTATCCTCTTCATAAGTGTAGATATAAGGTCATCTTCTTGAATTTCACTTATTTTAGGGCGTCCAGGGCTACTTGCCTTTAGATAACTGGTTTGTGGAGATACCATATTGCTGTGGCTTTTTTTTGGTTGTGATTTTGTGGTGGCTTCTACCCATCTAACAGTTGTTGGCTGTTACTTTCTGGTGCCTGCTGGAATCCTGTGGTGGGGAGAATCCCTTTGGCAGGGAGATGGTTGTTCCTGAAGGAGGCCTCCTCAGATGTTCACTGAATGGCTCGTGCTTCTGGAGGAATTGCCACAGCTTACCTCAGGTGTATGGCCCTGTGGTCTTACTATGGTCGTTAGTAGTCAGGAGTGCTCTTTCTCACCAGGAGAAGTTCTGGTGGCCCAGCTGCTGTGCCACTGGGTTTCTTGCTCTGTAATTAGTGATCTGCTTCTGCTGCTCCTATACTGTGTCTGCTGGGCTCCTGTGTTTGCAGGGTGCAGCCCTCTTTAAGAACTAGGGAGCACTGTGGTTTGGTCAGTTTAGCTAGGGACACAGGTTGCGCCTTGGAGCAGTATCTGGGGGCAGATCTGGTGAATCCTAAGCTGCTGTAAATCTGAGTTTGGAGCTCTGTGTCCCAGTACCCAATTGGTAATTAGGGCAGGTGTGCACAGCACTCAGGTGTTTGGCAGGAGGCTAGAGCCTGGAGCCTGCAGGAACCCAGGAACTTTTCTGGGGATTAGCTAGGTATCCTGAGGTTGGACCTGATGTTTCCTTCATTTTTGGGTTTCCTCCTGACAGGGAGACCCTGTCTGTGATGTTTTGGGGTCCACAGTTCAGTCTGTGATTGTGAGTAGAGTATGCTGGTGCCTGTAGGAACCTGGGAAATTTTCATGGTTATTGGGGGTTCACCTGGGTGCTTTGAGGTGAGATCTGATGTGTCCTTCACCACCATGGTTTTTCTTCCCTACAGGGAGACCCAGTCTCTGGTGTTTTGGGCCCACAATTCTGTCTGAAATGGTGATCAGAGGCATGTGGTTCTGGGCTGGGAGCTGAGTGCCTGCCAGAGCCCCAAGACCTTTTCCAGGTGTTGTCTGGGTAACCCGAAGTCACTCGGTCCTAATTGCTTCCTTCACTATGGGTTTTTTCTCTCAACTCGAGAACCCAGTCACTGGAGTTATGGGGCCCACTGTTCAGCCTGGCATGGTGATCAGAGCACACAGGTGTGTGTCTCTGGGTTGGTGACTGATCTCTGGCTGGGACTGGGAACTCTTCTGGGTTTAGCTGAGTGACCTGAGAAGGGACCTGATTGCTTCCCACACTGTGGGGTTTCCTCTCACCTGGGAAACACAATCACTGGTGTTTTAGGGCCCACAGTCCCGTCTGTTGGTTGCTCTTCAGTCACTGCTTTCCTGCTTGTCAGACACTGTCCTCTCGGCACTGCCACCTTGGATATCCCTCTGGCATTATTATTATTATTTTTTTAATGTGGAACATTTATACACAAATAGCCTTATACTGTGTTAGTCCTCTTTCACAGCACGATGACAAAGTAAGTATTTTTCTCTATTTTATGATTGGGGGTAAATTTATAATAAAGTGCTTTGCCCACAATTCCACAGTTAATATGTGTCAGGAAAAAAACTAAACTTTTTCTTTTGTTTTATTAAGACAGGGTTTCTCTGTGTAGCCCTGGCTGTCTTGGACTCATTTTGTACACCAGGCTGGACTCAAACTTACGGCCATCTGCCTGCCTCTGCTTCGAAAGTGCTGGAATTACTGGCATATGCCACCATGCCTGGTCAAAACTAAGCATCTTTGTGGGGCTCTGGAATGAATTAATTCTCATTCTCTAGTTTTCCCTGCCTTGGTAGCCTTCATTGTCGTCTTTGCTTGGTTCTTACTTGGTTCTTATTGGTCTACTGGAGGGCTTACAGAAAATCAACTCCTTAGAACTGATCCTAACTGATTTGGAGAGATTTAGAATATCCAGGGAGACGTTTGAGACTAAGGATAAATGGAAACAGGATGACTTGGAAAAGACAGAATTCTGCCAGTGACTCATTAATTTGTTTCTAGGTGTTTTGAAGTCTTTTGCCTCTACTGTCAGTCCAACCAGAATGAAGAACCTTATGTGAGCATCACTAAGAAGCGACAGATACCAAAAGATGGCCTCTCAGAGGAGATTGAGAAGGAGGTGGGCCAGGCAGAAGGCAAGCTAATTACCCACCGTTCTGCATTCAGTCGGGCATCAGTGATCCAGGCTTTCTTAGGCTCTGCCCCACAACTGACCCTACAGCTGTATATTACCATCTTGCAGCAAAGCATCAGTACTGGAAGATGTATGTATACATTTATTTTTAATTTCTGCTTACATTTAGGGTTCAAACTGAGAAGCTTTTTTTTTTTTTTTGCTTCAGGTGAAGTTGATTCATATGGTCATTTCTTCTGAGTTTATGTTCTGTTTGCTAACCTAAAATCCAAGCGAGTTAAAATGATAACACTTTTGTGTGTGGGGGGGGAGGGGTTATAAACCTGTATTTAGCCAGGGCTGAAAAGGAAAAGTTCACCTATGCTCTAGTGTAGACCAGCTGAGGTGGCTCAAATCTGTGGGAACCTGATTTCAGTGAACACTTTTATTGACATGTTTTTGGAGTCTTACTTCTTCTCTGTGTAAGGAGAGTTTAGGTTTCCTTATAGAATAGTACTGCTTCAGAGTGTGAAACTGTGATATCTTTTGTGACCTTGACTTAAGAATTTTGGGAACAAAGCCGGGTATGGGCACTCAGAAAGGCAGAGGCAGGTGGATGGTTGTGAGTTTGAGGACAACCTGGTCTACAAAGTGAGTCCAGGAAAGCCAAGGCTACACAGAGAAACTCTGTCTCAAAAAACCAAAAAAAAATTATGGGAGTAAAACAAATTCAATAGTTTTTGTGTATTTACAGTGTTGTGCCAAGATAACCATTACTTGTCAGGTTAGACTCTAAAATTTATAACATTTTCATCATGTCAAGAAAAAAAACCCTACACATTATCAGCCACTATTTTCCTTGCCCCCTTGACCTTGGCAACCCCAAATCTTGCTGTTTTCTATGAATTTGTCTATTGTATATAAATAGCATTAAGTACTGGTAGAAACTTTAGCATAGTTAATAAATAATAGACCCTGTCACTATGAACTTTCATCTTAGATAAGATGGCCATCGTTAGACTCCCTCAGTTCAGTCATATTTTGGGATCCTGGAGGATATGTTGGGCTTAAACCCAGGAGAGAATTCTAAGATTGTTCTGCTCTAGGAAGGTCCAGGCAGATTACCATTTGCCGTGCCTAGGCTTGAGAGTACCCTTCTCTATTCTACTATAAGGGGTAAAGTTGGCCTATAATGATGATTGTTCCATGAACACTTATTTTATACCACCTACTGTGAGGAACCTCATAGCATTTGTTTCTTGTGGTGTCCTGTGAGATAGAGGATGTTCCTTTCATTTTCCTAAAGAGATAAATTATACCTACAGTCTGCTAAAGGGACCATAGACTAAGAATAGATTTGTGTGGTTTCATTCATGGTTGCAAGGATGATTTGTTGAGTATGCTCTGTGTTTCAGTCTCTCTGCTGGTCTCTGAGAATAAAGTGTTAATGAAGTAGACAGGCCCCTGTCATCCTGGAAGAAAAGTGATATGAAATAAATGATTAATCATATGTTTATTTGACTTCAGATAAATCTTACAAAGTGTAAATTAAGGAGATTGTATGGATTCTATCTAAGCCTAGAAATGAGGCGTTTTCCAGAAAATGTATTTGTATTGAAAACTGGCCTATGAGACAGAGAAGCTAGATAAAGGAAAATCATCTAGCTAGTTTGAATAGGAATGGTTGCTATAGGCTCTTGTGTTTGAATGCTTGGCCCATAGGGAGTGGCAGTATTAGTAGGTGTGGCATTATTGGTGGAAGCATGGCCTTGTTGGTGGAAGTGTGTCACTGTAGGAGGGGGCTTTGAGCTCTTCTGTGCTCAAGATATGCCTTGTGTGAAACACAGTGTCTTTCTGCGACCTTTGTATCAGGATGTTGAACTCTTGGCTCTTCCAGCACCATGTCTGCCTACATGATGCCATGCTTCCTGCTGTGATGATAATAGACTAAACTTCTGGCACTGTAAGCCAGCACCAATTAAATGTTGTCCTTTGGAAGAGTTACTGTGGCCATGGTGTCTCTTTCATATCAATAAAACCCTAAGACAAGCATCTTAGGATTTGAAGTATTAATCTACATGCAGTGAGAAGCCACTGATGAGTTTTAAGCAACATGGTGTCATATGCAGGTTTAATAGTAGAAAATGGCTACTCTCAGAAATGAATTTGAAACCATTAAGGGAAGGAATAGGAAAGACAGTAAGTAGGCTGCTACAGTTGCTGAAGTGACAGTGATAATGTTTGAATAGAATAGTCAGAATGGATTCCTGGAACAGTATTAAAGATTTGGAAAAGTAATGACTGATGATTAATTATGTATGAAGGTAAAGCAGGAGAGATGCCAAAAGTGTTTCCAGGCCCCTGTCACAAAATGTTACTTTAGAAACTCTCTGGACAAGGAGCAGGTTTCTGTTGTATATTTTTTCATTTAAGTTTTGGATGTTTTATAAAATGAACATATGTTCATTTTATAAAACATCCAAAACTTAGATTATGAAAGATATATTAAGACCAAAAAGATAGAACAAAGAACAGACATGGAGATATAAGGAGAAATATTGAAATGGGTATGTGAAAGGAGGTAAATCTGTTTTCAGTGGATATCAGAAGGTAAGGCTAAGGATTTGGGTCAGTAAAAGAGTGCTTACCTAGCATGCATAAGACATTCAGTTAAATACTCAGTACCACAGAAAAAGAAAGACTGAAGAAAGGAGAAAACACAGAATGGCTAGTAATGTATTGAATCTCAGTTGGTAGAGTGTTTACTTATCATGTATGAATCTCTGAGCTCAAACCTCAACACCACATAAGCCAAGAGTGGGGGTGCATACTTATACTACAGCACTTGGGACAGGAGGATCAGAAGGATACCCTGTTTATAAAGGGATTGGGGGTTAGGAATGTTCCTAGACTGCTTGCCTAATATGCCTTAAACTCTGGGTTTGGTCCCCTGCCCTACCACTGAATAAACCTGGCATTGTGGCATAGGTCTATAATTAAACATTTGGAAGGTAGAGGCAGAAGTATCAGAAGTTCAAGGTCATCCATGTCTGTATAAGAGTTTGAGACCAGACTGGAGCATCAGACCTCATACTACCTAAAAGCTACTCTGTTAAAGGATTGGAGGTATGGGAGTTTTAGTTAGCACGGGACATTTGAATCTAATTTCCAGGAAGCAGTTTCCAGTGGCAATAGTTTAGGTAGTGACTGTGGCAGGGTGCTAATAGTTTCATGACATTGCAAGTGAACCCCAAATTTTATAATTGGTTAAGATGGTAAATTTTATGTTATATAAACCTTATCTTGATAGAAAATACCAGAAAATTCTCAACTACTCTTGTTAACAATGGAGAATAACAGGATAGAAACTGGAAAATAATGGGATAGGAAACAAACAAACAAACAAACTCCAGCAACACTAAACTAGAAATCAGGTAAACAAAATAAAAAAAGTCAGAAAAAAACATCACAGCAGGGCTGAAGAGATGACTTAAGCATTATGAGCACTTGTCTCTATATCCAATGACCTCTGCATGGTGGAAAGAGAGAACCAGCTCCTGAAAGTTGTCCCAACTCCCACATGCAAGCGATAATATTCATGCTCTCCCATAAATAAATGTTGAAAAAAATTAAAAGAATATGATCAAAGAAAGTACTTTATATGTATGAATGGAACTGTCATAACAAAATCTATTAATTTTTACAATTAATATGTGGTAAAGCAATTTAAAAAGTGTTCTATTAATGTATGGGATTCACATGAAGTGCTAAGAAGGGTAAGCTTGGCAGTACATTTCTGTCACTGAACTTGAAATGGCTATAAAGTGCATAATATAAAGTGAATCAGTTTAGCATATGTATAGATGTGCTAAAACTGTAAAATCTTAATACTCAAAGAGATACGAATGATGAACACTTGTTAAATACTTATCATGTAAATAGCTGGCAGATGGTAAATAAAGTGGCAAACATGATGAGCATTTAAAAAAAAAGAGTAAAAAATGGAAACAGGAATACTGATTAGGAACACTGAGGTGACTGTAGATTGAGGCCAAGCTAGAGTCTGTTGCATAACTTGGCATTTCATCCCATGGACAGAATTTTTCATTGACACATAGATCTTGTCAGAATGCAAAGATCAAATAGAAAGAGTTCTCATAAGAGGTAAATGTAACCAGGTGGGCTTGGTGGCCTGCCTATAATTCCAGGCTTCCTGTGGAAGGCTATGGCAGGATCTCCAGAGCAAGGGGGCTACTAAAACTATCTATATTGGTGAACTCTGCCTTGGACTGAAAGATCTTGTCTCAGTAAATAAGACAGATATGGTCAAGGAAGGTTCCAGATACTAACTTCAGGCCTTTATGTGCATGCCCACACATGAGTACATACAAACCCACACCCACACCCACACATACATGAAAATGCTAAAGAGAGAGAGAGAGAGAGAGAGAATATTCACTAAGTTTCCTAATATGAACATTTCTGCACTGAACATCAGGGGTCAGTGGATACCAGTGACATCATAAAGCATATGTTGTAACAAAGCACTCTCCTGAGGAGCAAAGATAAACGCACAAGCAGTTGAGAAGGTTGGTCATTTTGAGAGGCTCTGGCCTGAAGAGAGGTAGAGCTGAACCAGATCCATCAAGCAGGGAGCATGGCTGGGAAAAAGCAAAGAAAGAACGTCTCCCGCTCCGCAAGAGCTGAGCTTCGGTTTCCAGTTAGCCGTGTAGACCGCTTCTTGAGAGAAGGGAAGTACTCCCGGCGTGTGAGCTCTTCTGCGCCCGTGTTCCTCGCTGGTGTGCTGGAGTACATTACCTCCAACATTATTGAGCTGGCTGCTGAGGAGGCCCGCAAGAACGGCAAGAAGCGCATAGGTCCAGAGCACGTGTGCCAAGTGGTGCAGAACGACGAACAGCTCAGCCAACTTTTTAAAGACAACGCCAAATTGGAGGCGGAGACACCAGAATCTGATGAAGACTGATGATGCCTGTATCTCAGAGGCTGGAGGCCCATCACCCCTCCAGCCTCAACCAGCCTTGGTGTCACACTAGTTGGGGAACCAATCAAACATGCTATTAAAGCATCTAAACTGAAGCCAATGGATCTGACTCCTCTTACTTTGTCATTTTGAGCTATAGGCAGCTGTGA